TATACACCAGTTACATGCAGTTATATACAGTATTTATAACATCCATCATTTTATCATTCTAAGATTAAAATTTGTCAACAGAATGACATATACAGCTTATATCAAATTATATTTGCACCGACAAAGCATATGTACCAAACTATGGTAGGCGAGCATGCCCAGGTAATGATCTTTGTTTGCAAAATATCCAGTGTACAGTAATTGCCCAATAACTCAGGCAATGCAAAGCAATTATACTCTTGTCATGAGGCACGCCAGCTCATTTCCATATAAAATGAAATGTAATGTTTTCTAACCAATATTGCATCACTATTAGAAATCCAGCTCATTAACCCATTAAGCGCCAGCACTCTCCCCTTGACAAGTAAAATTGTCTGGCGTTAGACAGAGTAAAATACTAAACTAGGGTGCATCAGGGTGCAATGCGACTCAATGGGTTAATTAACCTGCAATATTATTATGCATTGTAATTACATACTGTACAGAGCCTGATGCAAGTCTTGACCCACACCAAAGTTTTATCTTTAGTACCGGTATCCAATCAAAATGTGCCAGGCGCAATGTCAAATTATTTCACATAATTTAACAACAAGCTAAATATAGTTACAATCACTATTTAATCTATCATTATTTAATTATATATAGCACTAACCAAAATATCAAAAAAATACATTAAATATGGCAATGCTAGAAGTAGTCGGCAATCAGAGTTACAACCATAAAAGCAGTTGTAGGACACAAACATTTAATAACATGTGACTTTATCAGGTCTTCATTTTTCTTTGCCCGCCAGCTGTGAGAAAAATGAAGGTCTGCATGGGCACAGGTTATATAAATCCCATGTAAACAGAGATGAAATTTGCCTCAATAAAGCAAGCTGTCAAGTTTGGTAATGGGGCTGGTTTGCCTCCAGACAAACAAATCTCTGTAAAGACTGTAAAATGTCTAAAATGTCAAACTACCTCATCCCCCCCCCCACAACCCCAACCCCCTCCCCCCCTTCCTGGTATGAACAGCAGTATCAAATAGACACAAACTTGAGTTATTATGTTAATACATACAAATCTACATTGAACTGAACAATTAACAATGTACTACAATGTAAAATATACATAAATTCCACTTACTTTAGAGCCCTAGTGGCCGTAGTGGGCATCTCACATTCTCACAGTATAAATATACTTCAATTCTTGTGCTCACTGCTCAGTTGAAAGATCAAATTCATTCCAAACCTCGGTAATTAATTCGACTGTAACTTAATTGCTCTCCATCATATTCGACGGATATTTCTTCGCATTATTTGTTGAATTTTGTTCATTTGCATATAGTGTTTGCATATCCTTGCCGCCATGACTTGAATCGAATGCCTCGTTACGTCACAGTAGATTTTGATTTTGAAATTTGCATCAGTGAACTGATGCGAGCGCCCGCAATCTGCATGCGATGCATCGCTCAGCGGACTAATCTACCGTGACGTAGGGCTCTAAAACAATAGATTTGATGATGTCACAGTAGATTTTACGCGGAAAAGGACTCGGGACCGATGCATTCACTGATGCAAAATGGCTGAAAATCGATGCAAACAAAATCTACCGTGACGTAGGTGATCATATGTAGGTGATGCATCAGCTTTCTACTGTGACGTCAAAGGATGCGGTAAAAAATAATATATTTTGTCGCGAAATTATTCACGCTTAAGTGTCGCAAAATAAAAAGTAAACAACAGAAAATACTTTTGCGATCGCACGTCGCATATTGGACTTATTTTGACAATTTCGACTGTTATTGAGACTATTTAAATTGGATTTCATCCTAAATAGTGTATTCCTGACCTGGAGTCAAGTTTAAGCAAATAGTTGCGGTTTGATAGCTGGAGAGATTCAAAGATATTCTATTACTGAGTGCTTGACTAAGTATTGACGACATATTATTTCAAGCAACATGATTTCTCAATTTTGACCGATGCATTCGCATCGTTGGCATCGGTCTGGATCCGCCCCTGCTATCAACACAATCAATTTCCAAAGAAATTAATAATGATGAGTTGGGATTTAGCGCGACCAAATTGTCGGGCTGGCTACGCCACTGGGGGTAACCATCACATATTGTCACATGAGATTGGGGGGAGGGGGTCAAAAATAAGAAAAAGTCTACCACAGGGTAAATATTTACAATACTTACACGACCAGATTATATTTTCGAAGAATATAGCTGAATATATGGGGAGCATTTGAATCAAAACAGGCATGTAGCACTGGCCAGTGTTTTTTCGATGTTTATATTTGTTTTTTGTTGTTTTTTTCATTTGGGTCGGTGAAAGTACATCTATTGAAGTAATTTCACTGTATTTTACTATCTTTAGTATCGATAGACCAATTGCGAAACTTAGTGACCGCGCCTTAAACTGCTCGAAAACGAGGCTTATTATGCAAAAACAAATCATTCTGCTATACTTTTATATAGCGAAAAATGAATTTCAGTGTTTGAGACCCGTTTTTATGGTAATCTCTTCATTTTTTTTCAATATTTCTGTTTTGATTATGTAAATCTTTATTAAACTTGTTCATAGATTTAGTCTTACTTCAAATTTCATTGTTTTTTGCGGCGTGCGAGGCAAAGTTTTGCTGTTTTTCGCCGTCCGATAAAAGAAGCAGATTATACCAGAGTAAGAATCAGGTATTTTCCGTCTGTTTTATTATTACATTTCAAAGAATAAGTTGTAACGTTGATTAATTTTGTTTCAGTTGTAATATAATAGCAAGTTTTCGATTTTAACTTTAAAAATATGAAAGTAAATGTCGGGCAAAATTTGTAGAAATTTTATGTTATTATCCTTTGACAAAATCGTTTTTTCTCGCACAAGTCTAAAAAAATCTGGGTAGAAAGAGTTATATTTTAGTTTGTTAAGTTATACTGGCTATTTTATTTGCATGTTGATCAGATTTTAAAGTCTAGATTGATCTTTTCCATATGTTTGTTCCATCGCATGCTAAAACAACAACGAAATATCTCTCCAAAGCGGGTAAAAATATAGTGGGAAATCGATGTTTAGATAAATTTAACAAATATTTATATAACCTAGCACGAAATATTAAGAAAAGATCAAAGAGATTCAAGAAAAAACACTTTAAAAACCCTAAAATTCACTTTTCGCTATATAAAAATATAGAAATTGTTTTGTTTTTGCATAATAAGCCTCGTTCTCGTGCAGTATGAAGGCTCGGCCACTAAGTTTCGCAATTGGTCTATAGCGTGGATTTTTCGACTCTTTTTTGGTAAGGCGGAACTCCACCATCTTATCTTTGAATACCATATCAGGTTTGGTCGATGGCTGTAAGAATAAAGTTTGTATAATTATTTATATAGTTTCATCATTAACTACCATTTAAGCTAAACAGGCTTCATACAATGGGTACATGTCGATTAGCTTCATGCATGTACATGATGTGTAACATATACACGTGCCTGCATGGCTTATAGAAACATTCTTTATAGAGACGGAGATCACAATATACTGGAACTAAATAAGTAGCTGCAACAGCTGTAGGAATAACATTATTACTTTTAAGAATACTTACATCTTTAAATTTCAAAACCATTGAACCTTTAAAGGTTCACAGTTTTCTTTTCGATCAATCGGACTGCACTCACGACAACTTGGTTGTTAATTTCATTTTTCTTCGACACATTCTTGATTCCGTCGCCCAATCTTTCCATGATCTTGAATGAGAAATCTGGCATGATTCGTTTAGTCTCTTTTCGCACCTAAAATATAAAAGCAATTATGAGATCACTTTACTCTTGTCTTCGCGCATGTTCTCAGGATAGCTTACATCAAAAACATAATATGCTGCTATGAGATTCCATCCGTGCTGGTTTCAAAGACAGTGCATCTTCTCCAGCTACAAAAACTTGTGATACCTCCTCCTTTGTACTAAGACATACGAGCTTAAATTCCACATCTTTGTCTTTGAAGTAAGCATCGGATATCTTGGACGGCTGTAAATGACACAGAATACCAATTCATACCGAATGGCAATTGTAATCATTGCATGCGGGCGGACTCTTCGCGAAATCTTGGTGGGGGATTTAGTTTGTCTCCATATGGACCATCTTTTGTTAGTGGAGATCCTTAATTAAACTTTCTTTGCCTTACATTTCATGTTATACAGTTATTCAGATGTCAATCAAAGCTTTTCGCAAATTATTGTGGGGATACCCCACCGCTCGCCATTAATAATACTCGCATTAATAATAAGAGAAAATATATACTTTCAAAGAACTAAGGTAAAAATATGCTATGATTTCAACAAATTCAATTTATTTGTGGGATTTGCCCTCGCCAGTGTATGTGCCTGATGTTTGTACAAGAATGGATTTATTTTGCAGTACTTGCATCTTTGAACTTGATAACACTCGATCCCTTTTTTTGATAATTCTTCTCAACATATTGAACAGCATCCACCACGTCTGCATTTGAAATCTTGCCATCCTTGCGAATAATCTTTTGAAAACTTGAACGCAGGTTATCTATGGACTTCTTCATCGCAAATTGTGGGACTATTTTCTTCATATCTTTCCGCACCTAAATTGAAAAATAGTAAAAGCAATATAGTTGATTAATGTACGAAGTGAACCATATAGTAACGACTTTTACTGCCAATCTGTAATAAAATACATATTAAAATTAAGTACTGCATTTGGATACAAAAAGTAAGTAGTGTTATACAGCACTGAAATATCCATGCAACGCCCCTATAAATTGTACAACACCACAAACAATTTTAGAAAAATTTCTGATGATCTGTTACATCCCGAGATGAAATGTGGATACATAAAGCTGAAAATATTGTCTAAAAACCCTTCGTACCAGGATATATCAGGTTTCAACAACTAGTGCAGGGTCACCGAGAGAAGGAGGGACAAAGCAACAAAGACAGTTAAAATTCCCAGATACAATGAATCCTAGCTCTGTTAATTTTGGATCTATGTGATAAATTAAGACAAATTGTTCTTAAGAATTGAGCAAATAAAAAAAAACAAGGTAATATATTGGAAATGTTTTTTTTACAACAAGCCCTCCCCCATTTTGGTGCACCAAAATTTGTCCTATAATTAGCCTCTCATTATACTATAAAACTTACGTGTTCCGATTTCCCAAGGTAGGGACAAAGTCCTAAAATCTCGGCACAGGAATTTGCTTCATTTTTGATGAATTGCTGCCTGGCAGGGAGGGTATCGTCCACTAAACTTGAATACTCAATAGGTTTTATCAGATATAGAACCCGCTTTATAATCCTTAAGTAGCTTAAGGTTTCTCTTCTGCGCTGCCTCGTCATCAACAGTTTCTCCCAATTTTTCCTTCTTGAGTACAGAAACATTCTTTGCTTTATGAGAATCAGACGGTCCTGCCTTGGAGTACTGGCGGTGATTTCGAAAAAAACGACTCAATTGCTTTCTGGACTGGAAGCTAGAAGAAAATATAACACGAGGTTTTCCTAATCAGCAACACAAGTACAATTAGTAATCGCTTCGCACTAAATATTTAGTGTTTGGAATTACATATATACTGGTGAAATTTGAAAACGTGGTGATGATGATGTATGAAAATGAGAATGATAAATGAAACTCTGACCAACACTGCAGTGTGTGTACCCTGGTTCCAGAGACAATTTGTTGCGAATCTCACTTCGATACTTGATTAGGTCAGACCCTGAACCTCGCACGTAATTGGCTGTTTGTAGAAAAACATTGTCATGCATTATATTATAGCCTACTAAATATAGCAATAATTTTAATTCTGCATATAAATTTTTTGTACCTTTTTCTGAACCTAATCAAGTATGGAAGTGAGATTCGCAACCAATTTGACCAGAGGCTTTTTCGCCTCGCCGTTCTTTTAAGATCCTCTGGAACCAGGATACAGGGTGTGAAACTCCTACAACTAAACACACTCCATATATTGGCTTTTGTTTACAACCAGAAGTATAAAAAGGCGGTGTTTATACAACCATGCAGGCACAGTGAAATATTGTACATTCATACGAAATCAGCTATAACCAAACAAGTTCTTACCCAAAAGGTGGACGAATTTGCATCCTTAAGTTCAGGAAATTTTTCGCATGTTCTTATTGCCATCCTTTTGTAATCCCCATGTTGAGGATGTGTGACCAGATCATAAAAAAAACCCAGACCGACAGCCGCAATTAACTGTTTCCTTGCAGACAGTACATTGCCACTTGCAATGGCAGTTTCAACCTTGATTGAAAGTCTATCGGGAAATGGCAAATGAGTAAGAAGTGCTGACGAATCTGTCTTCCCCTTTTCCTTGGGTTGGGTAGATGATGCCTCCAATTTCCTTTTTCCGCATTGTGTGAGGTGGCGGCAGGTTCTGGTGTAGTTCATGAGGAACTGGACTCTTCTTGATTAGGTTCTTGTGAGGGAACTGTTTCGGTGTACGTGGGACCAGGACATGAGATATAACCATATGTTGTATCAATTAAGTTTCAGGTTTGAATTGAAAAAGTCGAAACAGCTGCCTCCAAATGAGTCATCCGAACTCACCAAAGGCACTAAGTCATTTGGTCCTGCATCATTTTCCAACTAAAAAGAAAAATAATTGTAGTAAAAAATTAAAACGAGGGTTGTACGCAAACTATGATAAAAACCAGACTTTATCTGGTTATTATACATTATCTTCATATTTATTGTCATTGGGAAACTCGGGTAATTGTATTAGGGTTTCGCTTACTTTTACTCATAATTCAGGAGGAGGGCATGCTTCCAAGCCAGTCGCATTTGACAGACCTTATGCATAATTACGTCACAAGGCTTGATGTCCGCAAGGAATGCTGGTCTTAGTAGTCATCGCCCGGGAAAATTAAACAATTCAAAATTGCCACTATCGAAATTTTGACATCAAGCCTTGTGACGTCATTATGCATAAGTCTATTAACACTAATTTTGTCCTGAACAGGAGGGCCTGGAAATGTTGTCTGTAAAATACCAACTTCCAAGCCAAAACTGAAAAAGATTTATTGGTAGACACTCGCATTGCTGCTATTTAGAGTGGCTCCGAGCTATTTAGAATGGCTCCGAGCTATTTAGAATGGCTCCGAGCCATTTAGAATGGCTCCGAGCCTAACGAGCTCGGCTCCGAGCCTATGCAGCTCGGCTCCGAGCCTATGCAGCTTGGCTCCGAGCTATTTAGAGTGGCTCCGAACCTATGCAGCTCGACTCCGAGCCTACGGAGCTAGGCTCCGAGCTATTTAGACTCTGCTCTGAGCTAGGCTCGATATTTCGAGCTAGGCTCCGAGCTATTTAGACTAGGCTCCGAGCAAGGCTCGATATTTCGAACTAGGCTCCCAGCTATTTAGACTAGGCTCCGATCTAGGCTCGATATTTCGAGCGAAGCTCCGAACCGTTTACTAGGCTTAAGTCAAATAAATTACGCACAGATTGCCCAAAAATGTTGAACTCCGGTATAATATCCCTATCTATCCATTGGGATACACTTAGTTACTCACACTTTGTAAATTCCCTGACGGAACTCTATTTAAACAATGAAGATTCGGAATTCCAAACTGTTTTGAACTATCTCATGCATTGGACGAAAGGCAAACTTTTAAAACATTTCAAACGTAAAAGTTTTTACACTTTGTAAATCTTTTATTTCAATATATATTAGTTCTTACACGAGCCGGTTCTTACAATATTTGAAATCTTTTATTTTTTAAATAAATGTTTTGTGTCTTAAAATAAGTCCTAGATTCTCGTTCAACCAAACTCCGTATATATGCCTCAACTTCAACTTTCGCACAGTGTTGATAGTGCTCCCTGGATGTATGCGCACCGCACGTCTCCAACCAACCCAATTCATCAAACAACTTATCAGCTTTCGGACAGCCATATTTCTCCAGGTTTACGTTTGGTACGCCAAGGTGAACAAACATGTCTCTTTCATAATTATCACCCTTATAGTAATTTTCGAAGTAGATTTGATTTTATGTTTTTGGTAAAAGTCCAATACGATAGTGTCAAGTTCGTGTAATCCTCGAGCGATAATACCGCGCGGAACACCAAATGGAAGGTGATGTATATTGCGCGTTAAGAAACGACGCTGCCTTTTCTTCGTTTTCTCATCAAGGGCATTCCAACAGAGACCAATATCAAAGAAAAAGGATTTAGCGTACAAATCACCAACTCGGAGAACACCTAACTCCTTACAAATTTTTTTTACGTACACAAAAACCATCCATATCCATGATTCCAATCACCTCTCAAAGATTCAAAGGAGGAGTGATATTACTACTGGCGTTGACTATTTTATCACCTGAAACATGATTCACCTGGTGTTGCAACGACTCAACATGATCCTGTAGCAGTTGATTTGCCTCCTCTGAATATCGAACTTTCTTGGATAAACTGTTCTTTTCGTCAATTAAAAAGCCAAGACGACCCGAAAAAAAACACAATCTGTAAAGAAATTTTATTAGCTTTAACTCAACTTATGAAGAAATCCTATAATTCTAAGATGTCCTGTGACTAATGCACCATATCACAAATTTTTTTACATCCCATATTTAATTACATGTATAATTATTAATAGACAATCGATATTATTAAAAAAGCATGCACGGTCACTCACGAAAAAGCTTTACGATGTTACTTCGGGCAATCTTCTATAGGGTATAACAAAAAGGTTTTTTATCGGAAAATTTTGACTTATCAACAGTCAGTCAAACAAAAAGTTTCTCTATACACATAGCAACACCTCGTCACCCTGTAGAAAGCCGCCATATTTGTTTTACGGCCTGTTCGCAGGCGTACAGCCCTAAGTAGTCTACCTGAGTGCACACACACAACTCGATAGCATAGTATGTAGCGCTACGCGCAGATACAATGTCGATGTTCCCGACATATTTTTCCAATCCCTTTCAAGTTTGCCGGCTATCCTAACCATCGCATTTCTATTAACTGTGATTTTACTATTATCAGTTCAGTATAGATTCTACTCTAGGACTCTCTCATGATGATGACAGAGATGTCTTTTGCGTCTAAATGGGTTAATGTAAAATGTGACCCTTTGATGTTAGACGGTCAAATAATTATACACTGAAAGTAGCATGCTTTTTATCTTAATAATGGGTTAACACGAAATGTGGGCAGACAATCTAGTTAACCTTTTAAGTCCAAACATCAAGCAAAATCACCAGGCTGGTTGTTCGAAAGCCGATAACCAAAGGTTAACAATAGGTTAACAATAGGTTACATACATACATACATACATACATACTTTATTGTGTTCCCTAAATAGGGATTTTCAACACTGATTTACAAAAAATAAATGTTGTTCTATTTACAAGTTTTAGAATCTAGAATTTAAATTAAGGTAAAAAGGTAAGACATTTGTATAAAGTTTAACAAGGTAAAATTATCTACTTATATATTTGTTCTAGCATGCTTCGCTTCAGTTCGTTTTTGAAAGTTTTTAGGGAGTCTAACTTTTTGTACTTTATGTCCAAATCATTCCAGAGTGTAACGCCTCTATAATGAAAGGACCTTTGACCTGCAGAAGTTTTGTACAATGGTATTTGCAGTGAGTCATGGCTACGTGTATCTCGTTGATGAATGTCAGAACGTTTTGTGAATAAATCGCTCAAATAATGTGGAGCAAGTTCATTGACACATTTGTACATCATAATAGCCTCTCTTAGTAGTAATTGTTCCTTTACTGGGAGCCAGTTAAGTTCACGTAAGCCTGGCGAAATATGGTCGAACTTTCCAATATTTGTTATTATCCTGCATGCAAAATTTTGTACCAACTGTAGTTTCTTAATGTTGGTAGACGAAGTGTTTGACCAAACCGTTGAACAATAGAACATTTTGTTCATTACAAGTGCCGAGACGATGAGAGTTAAAGCTTCTTTATCGAAACATTTTTTGACTCGGTTTATTTGGCACAGGGAATTCATACATGAGGAAACCAGGTTGGTGATGTGCTGGTCATATGTCAAATAAGAGTCGATTGTCATTCCTAGATCTTTGGCAAAGGAGACGGGGGTAATAGTCTCGTTGAGGAAGTTTATGGTCATATCTACGGGAAGTTGTTGTAGGTTTTGCCGTGTGCCAATCAGCATGTATTTGGTCTTTCCCGGGTTAATAAGCAATTCATTTTCGGAACAACTATTTGCAATCAAATACAAGTCTTCCTCAAGTTGTTGCTTTAAACAGTCCACGTTAGCCACAGTGAAAGATAGTAATATCTTGGAGTCGTCCACGTACGATTCAAGTTTACTATGGTGGACTGATGAGGGCAGATCGTTAGTATAAATACTAAAAAGTAAAGGTGATAAAATTGCACCCTGTGGTACACCATAAGAAACAGGGAGAGGAGTGGACACAGTTGATCCAATTCTGACTGATTGAGTTCTTCCGGTCAAGTAACTCTCAAACCATTTTACAACGCTTGGAGAAGCCCCGACGTTGCTAAGTTTTGTAAGGAGAAAAGTATGATTTACACTGTCGAAAGCTTTAGATAGATCTATTAGAATCAGTGCAGTAACCAATTTCCCATGCATGGCCTTTAGGATAGTATCTCCGGTCAAAAGATTCAATGTTTCGCATGAGTGATGTTTCTTGTTCCCGCTCTGGTGGGTTGACAATTTTTTGTTCTTCATTAGATACGAACCAAATTGATTCAAGGCGACTTTTTCACAAATTTTCGAAAGAAAGGGAAGGAGAGAAAGTGGGCGGTTATTTGATGCTTCCTCGTGGTTTCCATCCTTTAACAAAGGGATAACTTCTGCCTCTTTCCATGCTATAGGGAACGAAGATGACGACAGTGAACAGTTAATGATATCGGTGAGGGGCCCAAGAATTACTGGTAGGCTGTGTTTGATGACACGCATACTCACTTTGTCTTTGCCGGGTGATTTGTTTGACGGCATAGCTAATATGATGTTCCTTATTTCTGAACAAG